ACTCACTTGAGCTTCATAGGATGAACTGCATCCTGTGTCCTTAGGATAGACCACGGGTTGACTCGGAAATTTTCCTTTCTCTCTTTCACTCACGGCACTAACTAGTTGACCAAGTTGGGATTCTAATCTAGCTATGGCTTGAGTGTTGGAATTGAGCATTTGTCCGGTTGATTGCATAAAGGAATTCAGAGTGCTAGATGTTTGAGTCAACATATTCGTGGTTTGAGTGGAGGCCTTAATTATGGTTTCCAAACCCCTTTCCAAGACATTGAGACGTTTATCCTGATCTGGATTGTGAGAAGTCTGAATTACAGCTTGATGAAGAGGAGACTGATTTTGATACGGCAGATTGGGTTGTTGAAATTATGGATGAGAATTGAAAGGAACTGTGTTTCCCCTAGGAAATTGTTGGGTTGAAGCGGGAGTGAAGTTTTGAGTTCTAGGAGAATTTCCTTGATTCCATGCAAAGTTGAAAGTTGGGATAATTTCTCCAACCTGAATTGTAGGTTAGAGAAAATGGATCATTTCTAGGGTGCTGGAATGCAGCGTTCATCTGTTCTAATGGCTGATTATTTCCTAGGAGAGGGCATTCCTCTGAAACGTGGGTAGAAGACTGACAATTATGACATCCTTTGGCAGAAACGTGATTGATTTGACCTGGAGCTCGTTCCTTAACTTCTAAAGCTTCTAACCTCCGCAGAATCGTCGTCATCTTTTCTTCAGAAGCAATGTTTGACTCTAAGGAAGGACCACTAGACTTAGAATTAAGGACTGATGAAACCTTGTCATCACAGTATTCCCACTGCATTGTTTTCTCGGATAAACTCTCTAGAAATTCTCAAGCTTCATCTGCATTTTTCTTCATAAAATCTCCCTGACACATCGATTCTAAAGATGTTTTTGAAGAATAGTCCAATCCTTCATATATGACTTGGCACAATCGCCATTTTTCTTGACCATGATGAGGACATTGGATTAAAAGATCTTTGAATCGGTCAAAATATTTCCAGAATGGCTCTCCCGGGATAATTTTAAAGTTTTGAATGCTGTTCCTTAGCTTTACTGTTTTGTAAATAGGGAAAAATTTCTTAAGAAAAACGGTGACAAATTCATCCCAAGTTGAGATGAAATTTGTCGGTAAGCTGTACAACCATTTTTTAGGTTTATCCTTAAGAGCAAATGGAATAAATCTAAGCTTAATCACATCTTTGGTTAATTCTCTTATTTTAATCATAATACACACTTCCTCAAATTCCGAAATAAAAATATATGCATCTTCTGTTTCATTTCCGAGGAATTTGGGAAGCATGTTTATGTAATGCGGTCTAAGCTCGAAATTTTCTCCATTTGCCTCGGGGAGCCTTATGCAAGATGGAATTACATTTCTGGTGGGGTAACACATATCCTGGAGAACAGGTTGATTTGTCATTTCTTGGATTGGTTCAACACGGATTAAACGATGAGAATTATCCCTAACCCAAGTTTGCATACACCAAAACAATTTTTTTTTAATTTTTTTAATATTTTTTTAAGGAAAGAAAGAAAATTAGTTTTTTTTAAAGAAAAAGATAGAGAAAACCTAACAAATCAAAGCAATCACTTTTCAATCACTCTAATTCTAGGATTTAGCCTAACTCACTAGACCAGCTCCTAACCAAAAACTCCTACAGTGAAAAGATTAAAGTTTTACCCACTAGACCAGCTCCTAACCAAAAACTCCTACAGTGAAAAGATTAAAGTTTTACCCAGGTAGTTAGCCAGGGGTAAGGATAGTACTAGAGGGTGATCAAAGATCAATTAAGTACCTCTTTCCTTACGGAGCGCTTTACGTAACCCCTAAACCTTGCCTAAGACACTAACTAATCTGAGAAAACTTAAACCGGTTCACTTAAGGATTTCTTATTCCTTATTGAGCTCGAATCCTTAGGGGCCAACGTCTAATGAGTTTTAGAAGGCTTGGGTTTGTGAAGTGAGGAACTAGTGATTTGTGGGCTAAGAAAAGGGTGATGAAATCCCTCACCTTATCTTGATTATGGGGTTTTGCCCTTAAAAATATTTTTAAGTGTGTGTCAAATCAAGATGCTCAAATCACTTGGTGAATTCCTACTAACTATATGAAATGCAACCCTATAAATTAAAAGCAACTAAAAAGGATGGAAAAGAAAAATCTTTTTTTTTAATTAGGGTTAACAATCAAACAAATGAGAAGGGGGGGATATGTTTGAATTTATTATCTTGTTAGTAAATGTCAAAGTGGAGGGTGAATTTCATTATGGTCAACAAAAATAAAATCTTTTTTTTAAGTCCTAATTGTCTCTAAATGTGAAGAAGTAGCTAAAGGGTGGAATTAAAAACTAGAAAGATGACTTACCCGAAAGCAAATCTTCAAATCCTAATTCTCCAATCCGTGATCTTCAAGCTCCAAGCGTTTCCTTCACAAAAAACACACAAGTTAAAGAACCAAAATAATTAAAACCTACTTAAGCACCTTCCCCGGCAACGGCGTCAAAAACTTGATGCGGCATAAACATGTACCAAAAAGGTTGCAAGTGCACAACCGTGTCAAGTTATAGTATAAAGATATCTATCCCACGAGGAAGGTGTTTTTGTAGGAGAAAATATAAAATCGGTTCTTATGTTGTGTGCGTGACAAATAGGAGTGATGAGTGAATGTGATTGTGGAGAGATAATGAGAGTGATAGTGTGTAGATCAATGTGTTTGAGAATAAATGTGATCAATAAGGCAAGAAAGAAGAATGAATAAAATTGAGAAACAAATCAAAAATAAAATTCAAGAATAAATGAAAATACAAGAAATTAAAGATGGTGGATTCAATTATAGATATGGGTAATCTAAAATTGAACCCACTTCTTAGAAAAGGGTGATTCCCTAGAGGGTTCTAGCCTAAAGGCGAATCAAACAAAATAAAAATAAACAAAAAGAAAAACTAAACCCAAGAGGGATCACTACAACAGACATGTCTTTTAGCGACCAAATTTTTTGCGAGAAAATTATTTTTCTCAACAAATACCACTTTCGACGAGGAAAATATTATTTCCTCGGTAAATATCAGTAAGTCTTCTACGAGGAATATATTTTCCTCACAATAGACCACTTTTTACGATGAAAATTTTAGTTCCTCACTAAAGATAATCATGATTTGGTCTCCTATCTAGTTATTTTATTGGCGAGGAAATATGAGATTTTGGTGATGAACTTTTCCATCGTGAAATGCACATTTAACGAGGAAATAATCATTTCATCGCTGTTTTTTTGGTGAAAAATAGAGAAAACCCCGCCAAATGTAACATCGACAAAGTATGATTTCCTCGCTGAAGATCCATAATCTGCGAGGAACCGTTTCCTCATCAAAAGAATTAATTGGCAAGGAAATAATAGTTTCCTCATTATTAGTTTGGCGGAAAAAATCTGCCAATTTCAATGGTGACAAATTTAAGGCTTCTTCGTTAAAAGTTTTTTTTTTACGAGGAACTGTTTCCTCGTTAAAATAACCTATTAGCAAAGAAAAATATTAGTTTCCTCACTATTAATTTGACGAAAAAATTTGCAACACCCGTCAAATTCATTGACGACAAATTAAAGGGTTCCTCGCTAAAATTTTTGTTTTACGAGGAACTGTTTCCTCGTTAAAAAAACTAATTAGCGAGGAAATAATAGTTTCCTCATTATTAGTTTGGCAGAAAAATGTGCAAAACCCGTCAATTTCAATAGCAACAAATTTAAGGCTTCATCGCTAAAATCTTTTGTTTTACGAGGAACCGTTTTGTCATAAAAAATAACCTATTAGCGAGGAAATTATAGTTTCCTCGTTATTAATTTGACGAAAAAATGTGCAACACCCGCCAAATTCATTGACGACAAATTGAAGCTTTCCTCACTATTTTTTTTTGAAATGTTGATGTATATCCGAAGGGAGTTCTATTTGGTCTTATCCTTTTGGTAGGGGTGCACCAGTCTTCGAGTCGTCTTCATAGTTGGTCGACTGGATAGTCGTGCGAATAGCCGAATGCGTGATTGGGCCAACTCATGAGGAATCATCTTGGTCATGAAGAGCCGACTGACCCTGTATTTCGTGTCGACAGGGATGACACATCGCTTGTTAGGTCCAAGAAGTTGTCTTTTACTGGGTTTTATGCCACTGAGCTGGTTAGAGTCCCGCTCTTTAACCATAGGGTTGTCATTTTACGAACCTTTTTGTCTTCGAATGGTGAACCACCAACATATATAAACTACTTGTGATTTTTACATTGATTTCAGACTTTTGAAAACAGATTAAATTAATAGATAATATTAACTTCTGAAAATAATTTGCCTAAAAAAAATTTCCCCCTGTTTTTTTTCATTTCACCGCCTCTTTTTTCTCCTAGAGCCATCTAAAAACCCGCCAAACGGGCAAACACCCCCCTCCAAATCCCTAAATCTCTCTGTCTCATCTGCACGTCGCCCGCTGCTTTCACCTCCGTCGTCGGCCGTCGATCGGGAGACGCTGCTGGGCCTTGGGCTGCTGACGGTGTTCGTGGTGTTCTTGACGTCGGTAGGGTCCATCCTGATGTCGACGCTGACTGCGGGGTCGGCGATCGTCGAGGTTAATAGGGCGTTTCAGGTGCCAGAGGATCTGTTTCTTGATGAGCAGGAGGGTGGTGGGGTCGCCGCAAGGCTGCTGTTGTTCTTCGGTGGGGCCGCACCCAGTGCCGCCGTGGGTGGTGAGCCCATCGCCTGAGTCCGCGTCTGAGGAGGTGAGGTGATTTTGATCCTTGCTTGTTTGAAAGAGGGTATTGATTGAATCTAGGGATTGCTTTGGTTTTTGTGTAGCTGTTTTCATTTTGGGGATTATTTGTTAGGGTTTGTATAGATCTGTTGAGATTCATCTTTTGATTGCATGCATAATGTGGTTTGATTTCGTAAGAAATTTAGGATCTGGTCTTCTTAATGAAATCATGTGCGATCTTTGAACAATTTTTTGTGTAATCTTAGGGCAATCTTCCTATTATGAATAATATTATTATGTGCTGAGAGGATGCTTGAGCTCATGGATGGATTCTTGAAGAACGATCTGGTTAGCTTGTAGAAGGTTATTTTGGATCATGTGGAGTATACAGTTGCCAGATGGGGGTTAGCTTTGATGATTTCGAGGCTTACCAGGTAAATTCTCTTCTTTTAACACTTATTTCGTTGAATTATCTTCAAGCAAGTGGTAGCTTAAGTTTGATTTGGCTCTGCCAGCCTGCAACTCTTCATGATTCTTGAAATTATCTTCAAATGCAGTTTTTATTAACTCAGCAGTCAAATTGTTCATGTGATATGTTTGTTTGCGATTATATTGTGATTTACCCATGTTTTTAATAGTTATAGGTTCTACTAAGAGGGAGGTTATGAGGGAGGTTGCTTGGATTATCTTTGAAGAAGTACACTACATCAAAGGTTATTGTTACAATTTTGATTTGATTGTCATTCTCTTATACAAGTTTCTGTCTGCTCTCCACTATATCAAATTTACTTGATACTGTTTAAGTTGGGATCCAACTTTTAGCCAATAACTAAAGGAAACAAAACTTGAGTTATGATGCTAGTTGCTGAATTAGCATATACATTATTTGGTTTCAAAAATGAATTCCTTTAAGGGTCTTTAAGCTGATTATTTTTTTGTATGGTTGATCCATAGACTAGATGCTTTCTACCTTTGATTCAATTGGAATTTAAAGGTCTAGGATCTGGGAATATTTCTTTTTCAGTCTTCTGCTATATATTTATGCTTAAACATAAGTTCAATAAAAAAAATTACCGGGTTTCTTCTCTTCTTCTAGACTCTTGAACTCCAGGAGAATCTGAAGGTTTGCTTTTTGGTTTGACAAGCATAAAATTCATGATCAATTAGGTAGGATCTACCCACCAGCCCACATTCTAAAGATGTTCTGCAATCTCCCTTCTTGGCCATGGTATTTTGCCCATGAAGTTTGTGCCTGCTTAGCTGTTGAATGCTGGTCTTAAAACATTGTCTAATTCATTGATGTCACATTGTTTATTATACCATAATACCATCCCTGTTTTCATTGTGAATAGTTAAATGATGACGATAAGATCACAAGGAGTTGGTGCCTGCTTCGGTGTTGAATGCTTGTCTAGTTCTTTGATGTCACATTGTTAATACCATCCCCATTTTCATTATAAACACCTAAATGATGACGATAAGATCACGAGGAGTGTCTCTGATTGATGTTAGGCAGCCCACTACTGATTAATTTTATTATGAATTTTGGCATCAACAACACTAGGTAGATATATTATTTGAATAGTTTTGTAGATGGTCATTACAAAGTGGAGAAGGAATTATATGTCAGCTTTGTTTGAAGTATACTCTACTTTTTATCTTCGTTATTTATTGCTTTATTTTGGGCAACCATGCTTTGTGTGTGGTCGATTACTTTTTTTGGCATCAACCACCTTTTGTTTAATGCAGGTACATCAGCAGCCTTGCCACATTGTTTATACGGATTATCGACCTACACCACTTCAGCATTACATTTTTCCTTCTGGAGGTGATGGCTTATATTTGGTGGTGGATGAAAGAGGGAAATTTAGGGAGGGCAATTTTCAAAAAGCTTTAAATGCACTTGTTCCAGCTAGCGAAGGGGATAAGAAAAGGGAAAATGGGAAGTGAAAAAAAGGTTTACTATCAGGCAGGCTTAGTGAAGAAAGTGACATTTAAAATGGTGAAAATGATAATGCAGCAACAATACGATCCTGTGATAATTTTCAGGTTCAGCAAAAGGGACTGCGAGTTTCTTACAATGCGGGTAATCCATGCTTATCTGTTTATTTATTTATCAAATTCTATTTTTTTCTTCATATAATGTATATGTTTTCTTAACATCCAGTTGACTTCTTGGAACTTCTTATAATAAAATTGCGGAAGCAATTAATCTTAATTTTCTCCTTATCTAGACATCTGCACATAAATTTTGTGGTGTTTTGCAATTTCTTTATTGATTACTAAAAGGAAATGATGAAAATATGAGTTTATTAATAATGAACAATCTGCTTACAGCCCAAGTTTCGTTCAGATACTAGTTATGCGAGCTCCTTACTACTATCTGAATTGATGAATTCGATAACTGTGGGGCTTGCATGATGTATTTCTTTTAATCCAAAATTACATTGTATACTTTTGATTCAAGAGTATTTTTCATTGTCATTTTCTAAAGTGATTCTTCTGTGTAGTTAGAACTAAGCTATTGTTGACTTTAATAGCTTGATATGTTGAACTTTGGACTATAAATGGAAAAATTGGACTTAAATGAAGACGATGAGAAAATAAATGTTGAAACCATCTTTTGGAGTGCAATGGACATGCTTTCTGATGATGACAAGAAGCTTCCGCAGGCAAGATTTCGTTTCATAGCTTATTAATCTATCTCTCATGTATCTAGCTTTGTGTTACTTTTTGAGAATACATGTTGTGCATTGAAGAACAAACATCTTTTTCCGCTTTAAGGGTTAATTTCACAATAACAACCCCCTCCCCCCCCCCCCCCAC